GAATAGTTGCAGATCTGACAAGAGTTATTTTAAAAAGTAATAGGATTTATATATTTTATTATCACCTACTGAATTACAACAGTTCTTACAACTATAAATAATTTCCCAAGGTAAAAATGATCAAAAGGAATTTGATTTACTAGAATGAATTAACTTACCCAAGACTTGGCTACCATTTTTCTTCTAGCCATAAAAGCACCACAAATGCCCATTTCTAATACATTCAGTGCAATGAAATGACCCAGGTCTAACACTTTCTTCATCAAAAGATTCTGAAGTACACTTCCAGTTAATTAATTCAGTATTGACACACTTTGAACAGAGTACTCCAAGTTCTGATAAAAAATTAGTAGAGCAAAGAACAGAGAAGAAGAACAGAGTATTACAGTGACTTACTGTGTGTCCCACACTATCTGAAAAATGGCCCTATAAAGCGGCCTCCAGCTCCCCCTGTCTCAAACTGTAATACATAGCTGTCATCTATCCATCCTCTTTGGAACGAAACATAACAAATGTATCACAATTTTGAAGATCTCAGTGAATGAAATGATCTCCTCACTGATACAAATTGATTATGAAATGAAATTTGTAATCAATTGAAACATTTGCATTTACAATTACCATGCGTCATTGTCACAATCTTATGCAGAGGCTAGCCCTGCTCCTCTGTAATGTACAATTCTGAACCATTGCAAAGCTGTCGCAGTATGTTTCTCAGATCTGTTTCTCTCTGCTTTCACAGAGAGGAAGAGCATGGTGAAATGCACTTCTCAAGACCACAGACATGGTCACTACATCACCTGTGGTGACTAAATCAGAGGGAGCTAAGCCAGCCATGAGTCTCATAACAGACATGCCCAACCTCAAAAATCACAAGATCATATCATTAGTGGGCAAGTTAGTCTGCTGAACAGTACATCTCAAACTTTTGCTCCCTAATCATTTCTATTTAGACTCTTACAAAATATACAAAGCAATTGAGAAGCTTAGGCATTGAGAAGTAAATTTTAGTAGGAAATCTTCTATGGCAATAAATTGATAGGTACTTAGTGTCAGAAGCTCTTCTTGCACTCCTGATTCCTACTTTGACATAGTCTTCTATACAGTCACATTTACTAACTTACTGTTTGCAAGTGAGCCACCCTTTCTGGTGAAACTTTAGTAGTTTCTTGTTCAAAGAAAATCCCCTCCTCAGAGACAGGATTCAGAAGTCTCTTCTGTAACTAAACAGTGATGATACATTCAGTTACTTAATCCCTTATCACCTTTCCTGTAACACTCTTGTCAGTATCCGTACTAAAGACAGCTTCTAAGCACTTAACTCTGGAGCAGATAAAGCTGATTAAAGAAAAAAAAAAAAAAAAAGAGAAAAATTGTATAGTCATGTGTTGTATCTCATCTAAATTTAGTGGAAGTGAGTTTATGACACCATTAGAACTTTGGGACACGGTTTATTTATGAAAAGAACAACAATGTACTTGCATTTCATATTTCTTTACGGGTACCATTTTCATAGTTGCTTCATTAATGCAAAAATAAACTCTACCAACATAGGACAAGTTTGGTTACCTGTTAATTAAACTTAGAATACCTACATTATTAACAAAGATCTCAAACTTTGAGAAGGAAAATAGTACTTTTTGCTACTGTGGTTCTTCGGTTCCTCAGGTATACCTGAATCCAGACTGTGATGGGTGTGATATCTGTGTAACAAATTAGACACAGCTTCCGTATCAGTCGGGAAAATAACAGAAAGGAGCCACGGATAGGCTACATAAACTGTGAATGTTAAATTCCTCTCTTGATCTTTCTGGGCTAAATCAGTCATTCATTTGATTGTTATGTAAATGACAGTAGTTCAAAGTAGCAATTTCTAAACGGCCCATGATTTGCTCATCAGTGCAGCAGCAGCTCTAAATCTTTGCAGTAAGGAAAGAACAGAGCAACGATTTCTAAGAAAGCCAGTTAACTGGCAGCCTCATTAAGGCTATCAAGAACTGCATGAAAGGCAGATTAGATTATTATTTTACCATTGCTGACAAACCTTTCAGGTCAAAAGAGACACATTTAGCCTTTTCAATGCAAAATGATGTCAGCAACTACTATAGAATACACTTCATACACCAAAAATTTCTGATCTCACATCAAATTTGGCACTAGATGAACATAAAAAAAAAGTAACAAATTATAAAAAAAGGTGTAAGCTAAAACTTTCCAGAATAGTACAAATAGCTAAAATCTAATTTTTGCTATCCATGCTCTCTTGTATTAAGCTTGACAATCTTAAAGCTGACTTGTCATGACAAAAAATATTGCCCTCTTGGATAGTAAGAGTTCACATGTTCAGATAAAAAACTTAAGTTGGTAGATAGCTTCCCAACTGTAGTATTTACTTAAATAATACAGAACTGAAGTGTTAACAGCCACATCTCCTCAAACTAGAGGAAAAGTATCTGCCTCCACATATTGAGCAGTTTATTAAGCTGTATTACATTGAAGACAATACAAAAGAAAACCTTGTGCTAATGCGCTCATATCTTGCAATAGGACTTACCTACAAACAAGGCAGTCTTGAATTAAAAAGCGTGGTTCTCTTACATTAAAAAAATCCTTTTGTACAGTGCTTTTACTTTTCAATATACTTTTAATTACACATTTCAACATATAAAAATAAAGCTAAACTACAAGCTAAAAACTTCTGTTTATGTGTTAGCAAACAAAACTGCATTTCAGATTCTCTTTAGGCTCTAGCACCTAATGATATCTACATATAATCAACTCTCCACACTCTAGTCTCTGGTGAGAAAACTACATCTCTCTGAACTGTCTACTGATTGACATGATTTTAGCCATTTACAGATTTCAGCATTTATGCCACTAAGTCAAATGGCATTTTTCACTTTCAAAATTATGGTAACATCAAAGGTAATATTTGATTGCTATAAAATGGGAACTACCAAGCAGCATATGTCCCAGATAATGATTCCAAATTCACATCTTTAGGATTGTTTTACCACTACAATGCTATTATCACATTAACATCTACAAAATTCAAGATTATTTTGTATTTCTTTTTCCTCTAACAATACATGAGCTCTGATCTGCTTTCACTACAAAAGTGATGCGGAGATGCTCCAGACCTAACATACCATTATGGCATTACTGTTTGCAAGGGTCCTATCATCAATGAAAAATAACTAAATAAGGACTGGCAATACACATTCAATAATTTATAATGTACATAGCAGGATTTACTTATTATCTCTTACTTATTATCTATTATCGTAAAACAACCAAAAAAAAAATCACTTCCCTAAACTAGTAACTATTACAAGGTAGCTGTACAAGCTAAGGGCCAAAGAGAGAAGCTACTATGTAACAGATGTGAAGAGTTTCAACATAATTTCAGGTTATTGTCTAAACGTAACTGGGCCAGTGAACATAGCATGCAATGCAAAGCATGCAACAGACTGAATGAATTTAACTTCATTCTAGCAGCATAAATGGCACTGAAGTGTCCACAGCTCATTTCAGAATCCAAGCTATGCATAGGCTGCTGCCAGCCCACTAACATAAGGCTAGTCCAGATGTATGTTTGAAACTGCCATAAAAAAAATTAGCAGGTGATCACCTAATAGCGAAAACCCGTATCTCACCCATTTCCCAAGTATTCTTCAGATATTTCTAGTTTCTACCAAGTAATTTTATAATCCCTAATCCCCAATTTCAACATATGAAAACTAAGAATTCTTTACATACCATACTACTATTGGAGTTTGCAAACAAAATTCTATGCCTCATACCTGTGTAAATCCATTGACTTTGATGAAATCATCTAAGCCCCAGCCACCCCTATTTTGAGCTTGACATCCTGTTTGATCCAGCAAATTCTCTTCTGCTATCTTCTTTTTTTCAGAATGCAATCCAGAACCCTCTTGGGAATTAGCTATGGGCACTAAATGGATACTTACGTGCTTTATGTGATCTTAGCCAAAAACAGCAACATATAATTGCTCTTCTGAGCAATTTACATTTTCAAGTAAGTGCTAATTCAGATGAAACTACATATAAAACAACACAGCTACCATTAACCACACTTCTCGAAACCTCTACCCACATTAATCCCATTTACAAAGTGCAAAATCAGATGATCTGACACAGCAGCTCAGCACACAAGCATGTTAATGATGAAGGCAACGGACTTCCCATGGAAGATGGACACTTTCAGTGGATGATGCACTCAATCCTGCAGGAGCAGGCTGGAACTTCATTACTGTGCTATGTTACCTGTTGGGAAGTGAGTTATCCTCTGCAGAGATAAGCATTTCATAGACTAACAGTTCTCCAGGGGTGCCTTTTTAGGAACACCTGGTAAAATGGACAGATCGTAGCTACCTCACAGATCTGCACAGTATTTACAAAACAAAATCAGAAAATGAAAAGTATCTTGCAAAGTACTTGCAAGAAAATATGACTTGAGGAGGGGAAGAAATGTGTGTTTGGTGGCTGGTTGCTTTGGTTGCTTTTTTTCCTTAACAAAAAAACAACCAACAAAACCAACTGAACAAAGACCCTAAAATCCCCAAGACACTTTTTGTAAGGGAACCATAATTAATAGACAATATAACAATGTGCTGCATATAGCCTCACACAGGTGATAACCTACTTAGTAAATTAAGGCTGCCATCCATAAATATTAACTTCCAAAGGCATATTTCTCAGCTAAGCATACACAATCCTTTACATATTTTATAACTGATACATTATAAAACTATGCTATTTCAGGATAACAAAACTCAAGAAACCAAACTAACACCAGCTAAAACATGACACACTGAACGAATTCTAGTTCTTCCCAACACAGAAATTTAGCTTTTCAAAGAAAACATAAGTAATACATATGTTTTCACTAATATCCACATTTAAAATGAAAGAAGCTCTATGAGTAAATCCAGATGGTCTAAAAATATTCCTTTAATAAGTATGTACCAGCAGAAACATCCCTCTAAAATACTTACTTTATTAGTGAAATGGTACCAAAGATAACAAGTATACAAACAATCTCTTTGCTCTATGCTACTTACACATCATAAATAAGACAGCTGTTGTTGCAAGACACAATCTTTCACAGTCTTCCTGTAAGCATACAATTTTTTATTCTTTTATCAGAATTAGCTGTTTACCAGCCAACAGCATGTGGCTTAAACATCACAAAAATGGCTGTTCTATACTTTACATGGTAAAGCATTTTCTGTTGTCTGAAATGTACACAGTGGCAAGAACATTAAATCTTCTAGAAAATGAGGAGTGATTAAGCAGCTTCACAATCAAATTGGATTTCACTACCTTAGGAGCTGGGCAAAGTTTTCATTCCCTGTAATATGCTTCCCTTCCACTGAAAAAACTAACTATGCAGAGGAAAAGTAAAACAAGTAGAAAGCAAATAGCCAATACACTTAGTTTTTTATTTTAACTGAAAGAAATGACACTTCCCATGAGGTAAGGCAATTAATAATTTGATTGCATTAAGTTGTAGTAAAAATAATCTATGTGATTTTAGCTATAATTATGTCTTAAAAGCATAACTTATCAGAAGTCTCATATAACCGATTAAATTACTTCAACGAACAAAAGCTATGTTTTGCCAAGACAAAGCCACTTGTTTTGTGATTCTCTTCTTGCATGCTTTCTCCACAAAAAAAATGATAGAAGAATCTCTACTAAGTAAGCCCTGCGAAAATTAGAACTTTCTTCCTCAAATTATTTATCCCCCATTTCTTTGCACGCCATTCCTTTTGTATTGCCCAACAGGTATCAGAGAAAATAACAGAGAGGTAAGAATTAAGGCCATCCAAATGTCTAGTATATGTCTTAAGAGCTTTCTTTGATGCAGGCGATCAGAGCACACTTTGTATTCAGCTACTACTTTTGTACAGTGATGGTCCCCAAATTACATCTCTTCTCTTATTTATAAATCTCTTCCAAGAATAAAAAATAAAAGTAAAATGGAGCTTCACTATTTTAACAAGTGAATCAAACAATCATTCTGGCAAATCACTTGCATTTTTGTCTACAGTATGGTGGTGGCAAAGTAGCAAGAGAGATCATATAAGATTTAGCTAAAAATGTGTAACAGCACATATACATTTCTAGAAAATACCACATTTTAAGAAGGCACTAAAGCTTCTGCTTGTGCTCCCATATTTTTTTAACAAAAAGGAAAAATTTATTTTCTTAATGGCACCTGTACTATTTTCAGCTGAACAGACACACTGCAGTACATTGCAAAACAAAGCTGTAAGTTCTGGTATCATCATATAGATGTGCTCACTTCTCTACGGACAATGAAAACAACAGAACAAAACAACCCCAAAATAACCCTGTAAGCTAACCTAGTATCTATAACATGGCAATGTTCCTTCTAGGAACAGAAAAAGCGCATGCATTGTTCAAATACTATAAAAGAAATATTAATTTCAGAGATATTAGTAAGAAATTATTTTAAATAATAAACCCGAAGAATCTCGAGCAGTGAGCAAATGAAAAACATACTAATCTGTGAGTATTTAACATAAGAACAGTAAAACCATGTTTATGCTTAAACCCCCTTTCCCTACAGATGTCATTTACAAGGAAAGGAAGTGTGTATATTTATGCACCATTTTCAAGCACATCAAACAGCACACATTAAAGTTTTTGTGGATTTTTTAACCTACAGGGCAAAACAATACAAAAGTCATCAACAAGCAGTATTTTAAACAACCTTCAATGCATATCTTCAGCTTTTTTTGGGAAGTACAGGTTTACATCTTTCAGTTTCTAGTTATTTGTAACAGCTTATAGCAAAACTTAACATAAATCATTTTACAAGTACAGCCATCATGGAAATGCATGGATTTTCAGAGATGAATAGTTCTGATGGCATCTGCCTTTTCATGGTATTAACTACAGGTCTGTGCTCTTGCTTTACAGCAAGAAGACAACAAAGCTATCACATGAACTGGAGGAGCTACTAGTACTATCAACACGTTCAGGTTGATTGCTTTGACATTTTCTTCCTCATTCTGGGAAATAAAATGCTTTGGATTTCGTTCCTTAGTTGAATAAGAAGTCCATTCTTTAAACCTCTTCCATTTTAACTGAGAGATTTTCCTCGTTTGGTTGACAATTCCCGTTCTGTTGTAGCTTGACTTCATCTGTCCTTTGCGTATCTCTATTGTCTACTTCCTTGTCAGTTTCTGAATTCTGATCTTCTTTATTGTTATCTTTGTCCTACCAAAGATAAAATTATTTGACAACAAAATAATATTCTTAGCATTATAGACTATGACTTCCAACCAACTCTCAGTAATTTTATTGTTTGAATTTCTACAAGTGTGTCTTGCGTCTGCAAATTTTAAAATAGCGGTGTGACCTTCTTTGCCCCCCCATCTTTTTTTTAAAATACTTTTTTTTTTTCAGATGGCTGAAGTTTGGCACTTTTAACAACCCATCACCCAAGAAATTATGCCATAGAATGATCTGTCTTTATTAACTAAAATAAACTCATGTATAAAGTTATAGAACAAGTAGCATCATGGACTGTATGAGAAGCAGCTCCAGCAATTAAGATGACTAACATTTTTGAAATAGAAAAGGACTAAATTTTTTCTTTCTCATTTTTTTGTCAGGTATCTGATACATTTTTAGAGTTCTTGTAAGATACTTCCTCAAGCATTTGAACAGTCACCTAAACCAGCTGTTTTGTAACAGCTGAGTAATTCTGAGCACAACTAACTACTCTTTGCTGCTATTCAAATTGTAAGAGTAAACAATTTGAAGATATTTCTTTTCCTAATTGCAGTACTTTCTATTTCACAGGGGCAAATCCTATACCACTCTTTCACAACTCTTCAACTTTACTCCTATAGAATCCAATGTACAGACCAGGACCAATTCAATGAGAGTTTGAACTGTATAGTCAGAGTTTATGTTAAAAGTAATCTTTTCAGTTTCACAGTCAAGCCACCCCTAAAATACTGCTTGTTAGCCAATACCCTGCCTGGTCCTAAAAGTAGGAAGCAAGGCACGTGCTAACATAGGGCACACAACAAAAAAGAGAAGCAAGGTGTTTCCGTAACCTAAGCAGACAAACTCCTACAGGTCAACTGAAGATCATACATGTAGAATTAAACTGGCCTAATAACCCCAACTAGCAAATACTGAACTCAAGCGACACTAATTTGTAAGGAACAGAAGAAATAGAAGAGAGGAAACAAAGAAAAAGTAGAGAGAGAATTTCAGTAATGGCTTCACTACCACTTCACGCTGCTGATCACTTGGTCACACAAACTTACCTTCAAAGTAGTGGTGCTTTTGTCAGATTTCTCCTTTCCCTCTTTTTCTTTACTACTTTTTTTCTTGGAAGTGGAGCGTTCTCTTTCTCTCCTTTCATTATTTGTATCTCTTTCTCTTTTTTTTTCTTTCTTGTTTCTGTTTCAGAAATTTTTTACTCAAATTAAGATTTGATCAAACTACAACGAACTTCAAACCATTTGACTGCAAACTAAACACCCAGCATGGACTTTCAAAGAATCTCCCCAAATTTAACCAAAAATCCCTTTGCAAAGACAATGACTTTTTTTTGGCTGAAGAGAGCTAAACAGTTCATATGACCACCACACACTGTATTTGCCAAGAAAAAACCAATTTTGTCTGTATCAAATTAAGGCATTTCATTTATTTGAAGCAATTTGCAATGCTGATTGATTTGAAATTATGCCACTGAAAGAACACCAGAGCTCAAATTGGTTAAAGTTTTGAGATAGTTTTAAATTAAAACTGAATCATACTGACCAAATGAAATAATCTGAAATCATTAACACAAAGGCAGTAAAACAGTGAAATTACTACAAATTCTTACTTCTTTACTGATCGTTAATTTCTGTGTTTACATCAAACTGACCTTCTTGGAGAAGGAGTTCGTGAAGACTTTCTTTTTGCTGTTTTTGATGTTTTAGGAGATTTGGAAGGACTTCTGCTCTTCCTTTTACGCCTTTCTCTAAGGGACCAAGAAATTCAGTATCATCAAAACCCAAAAATAATAAACTCAAAGGAGATAAAAAGAGAAAGCTCTTACAATGATCTAAACATGTCCACTGAATCTGACATTCTATATCCCTAACAAAATATGAACTGTGTAAACTAAAAAAAAATTTTGCATGCTTCAGTTTAGTGGTAAAGGCAAGGCAAGGAAAAAAAAGATGTGCCCTTTCAAAATTTTTTTTTTAATCCTTATATATCTGACAACAATGAAAGCACACTGACGTCGGTAATACTGTATCAGTTAAAAGCTTCTTAAGTCAGGAAAATAATTGAATGAAGAGTCATATTAAGACAAAAGGTATAATTTGAGCAATATGAATTTCAAAACGTAACATTACAACCTGAAGATCACTGCAACTTCAGTTTAACCTGATTAAAATTTAATTCCTAAATGTATGAGCTAGAATTAGATGATTTAAGAAAACAGCGCAAAATGAAGCCCAAACTGTTGTCAAAGTCAGGATAAATAAAATCTGTTGTTTCTGTAGTGATCCTTGCTTAGCAAACAGAATGTCATCATTCTGTAACACATGGAAGAGCTTGAAGTGTTTTACAAAGCAACTGTTATACATAGCTAAATGGAGTTTCTGAAGTTGCCATTATGGAGTCTGATCTTGAATACAACAAAACGTGAAATAACTGGTACTTTATACTGAGGGACATGTTAAATTAAAGCAAAAACTGAGTCAGTACAATTTCATTTAACATAAATGCAGAAGCCATCTGTCAAAGTAACATTACTTTTTTCCCGTCAACTCTTTGTAAAACAGGAAAAGCAGACTGGAAGAACAACTGAAGAGGGAAATTTAAAACTTCAAGATACAGCACAAAAGCTACACTTATTTTTATTCAAAACAACTTTTGCCGTTTGTGAATTTTTAAATCTTCAATATTTAGAAAAGCAAAGAAGTCAACATTTATTAGATGAGTGACAAAAAGACACTTAAATTAATCAGTATTACTATATGGATTGATACTCTGACCTATCAGAGTACCGATCCATACAATGACACTCCATATACCATCTATGTGACTGTCCTGATTTCAGTCAGGACAATTTTCATTCCAGTAACTGGAACAGTGCTGTGTTTTAGATTCAGTATGAAAATGATGTTGATAATACATGGTTGTTTTAGTTGTTACTTATCCTAAAATGAAGGACATGTGTTTTCCATGCTCTGCCAGCAAGCAGGTACACAAGACACTGCAAGGGAGCATGGCCAGGAGAGTTGACCCAACTGGTCAAAAGTCAGTGAGGGGTAAGTGATTGTGTAGTGCATCACTTGCTTCCCTTGTGTTTTATCTGTCTCTGTCCCTTCCATTGCAATTATTACTGTTACTATAATTATTTTGTTTCAATTACTAATGTGTTCTTTCCTCAACTCTCAAAACAGAGCATGTAGAGCATGACAAGGCTGAACAAGAGAGGGACTGGTGAGGAAACAAAAGAAGTCAAAAAACAACTGTCATGGTTGAACCCCAGATGACAGCTAAATCCTGAGTGGCATTTGCTCATTCCCTGCCTTCTTTTGCCCATCAACCTCCATAGCCCCACCCCACCAGGGGAGGAGAGCAAGCACGAAAAACAGGAAAACTCCAGCACTGTACCAGATGCTAGTAAGAAATTTAACTCTCTTTCAATCAAAACCAATACAGTCACCTGAAGCTGCAGAGGACAAGATTTCTAAAGTACTTAGTTCAGCAAGCTTTTGATTTATCTTTCATAAACTAAAAATAAAAAAATAGGCTCAGAATCATGTAGTAAATACCAGTCACTAATCAGCTATTCACTAGTTAACATGCATTTTGAACATCTCCACATTGATCATCACCTTTATTTAAGGATACTGGAAATTGGTTATTCTCTCTCAGTGCTGTCACTTCAGCTACACTGAATACAGTCTCACTTAATCTTTCCAGCATGTGTACCTGCAAACCAAGTGCTTCAGCAATTGTGTTAAAACTAGAAACTGCTTATTCATTGAATTTTATTTTCAGTTTCTGCTTTTCTTATTTGAAGTTGAAAAATCATAACTGTCTCACTGCATCTGTTCCCATCTCTATTAAATTTCTACATAAAAGATTTTTGTGCATCCATTTCATTATATGTCTTACACAATACTAACAGCAAAATTTAAGAAAAAACAAGTTCCAAATACTTTGATAGTAATCCTGTGTCTCTTAATTATACATGGAAACAACATTCTGCTTGTCATCTGGTGCTACTGGCTCTGCTAGCCTGTAAGATAGCTCCTTTTCCAATTGATTTCACTTCCCCTAGTCTGTTTCTTTTTTCAGCCAGGAGTCACAAATAACTATCTTACTTCCAGTACCAACAAGCAAAGCAAGTCAGAAAAGCAAGGTCAGCTGCCATCTAGTTCTTAAAAGGTCCTGTATGTCCTATTCCACTTCCTCCTCTTTTCCAAAAAGATGACTATTTGCCAAATATTTTACATTTACTCTTCTATTTCACATTTTACATCAGTCAACTGCTGTACTGAAATTCATGCACCTGAAATACCTATCTGTTGAATGATCTCCACTGGAAAGGTCTGCAACCATTTCAACTGTGCAATGTCCATCACCAAAGAAAGACCCCTAACGTAACCCAACCTACTCAGAATTAATTTTCAAGGAGCAGTGACATTACTGACGTTGGAAGAACCCTCTGAAAATCACTTAGTCCAACCTATCCCTTTCCCACCTTACAAGAGGCTCAATCAGAGTACGTTATTCAGGGCCATAACCAGTCAGATCTTTGGTTGGAAGAGACAATCCCTTGAGGTAACTGGTTCCAGTCTGCCAAGCAAAACCACAATTTCAACACTAGGAAAAATAACCCCTTTATTTCCCATAGCTCAATATGTGCCTGTCACCTCTTAATTGTCACAGGCCTCCACTGGCTCTGTCTTCTTCATGCTCTTATCAGATATTCATACATATTGGTAAGATGCTCCTTAGCCTTCTCTTTTCCAGGCTAAACAATCCCAGATTCCTCAGTACTCCTTGAAGGAAGCTCCAAGTCCTTTATCAGCTTCATGGCCCTTCACTGGACTCACTCCAGTACATCTGCGTGTCTCTTGTAATGGGAAGCCCAGAACAGAATTCTACACGTGTCCCTTACCAGAAGAGGGAAAGAATTATCTCTCTTGACCTACTCACAACATTGCTGGCTTCCTTGGCTGCAAGGACCTGACAGCCAGCAAGTTCTCATGTTATACTGGTGCAATGGCACTATTTATTGCTGCCCGGGTGTAGAACTTGTCCTTTCTCTTTGTTCAAGTCCATGAGATGACTATCAGTCCATTTCTCCCATCTGCTAAGTTTCTCTAATGGCAGATCAGCCTCCCCCCACAGCTGGTTCTCTGTTGTTTGCAAGCTACAGAGGATGCACTCTCTCCCACTGTCTAAGCCCCTGATAATAACATTCACCAGTATTGGCCTCTGCATTGGTGCTCTAAGGATAGTTATATCTGAAAAAAATTGTAAATCTATAATAAAGTGTCCAGCTTCCAAAGAACACTACCCTTGTTTAACAATATCTGTATTATATCAAAGTACAGCTTTGTACTTTGACTGCACTAGAAGAAATGCACTGATTTTCACAAGAATTCCTTGCTCAAGTACATGACATTGGAGCCTTCCCATAGCACTTTCTTAGCTAGTAAGATTCCTAAGGGGAAGCACAATTATTGCAAACTAGAATATGAGCTTTTGGTAACACCCACCTAACTACACTTGTTATTTGGCACAAGGAGCCTGGTTTTCCACCAAGGCTCCTATATAAGATACTCATTGTGAAACCCTTACACATTTTTATGCACTTATCCAATTCAAATCTCTGAGGCTTATGGCCTGTAGAAAATGGTTTCAAAGCTGACAAAAGTACCTCTACATGGGTCTTCCACTCATTTAAATAGGAAGCTGCATATGCTTATTGAAGAAACAATATTTTGCCCATAATCCTCATAACACAAACTGTTCAGAAACCATTACACCCTTTTTTTGCCTTCTATGAACCCTGAACTGATGAATTTTGAGGACTAGAGGAGCTCAGCTTTTGTCTAGTCATACTATTACAATAGGTAGAACTTGTCCAATTCAGCATTTCTAGTCATATTATTACAATAGGTAGAACTTGTCCAATTCAGCATTTCTTTATCTTGAGGTTACAGATATAATTTGGTGTTTAAACCCGATATGATACTACTGGACTCCTAATTCCTGATGTAACAGTAAGGACCTTATCCACCAATACTTCTAAACTTAACTTAGCTGCAATGCTTTTAGAATATGCCTGAGCTTGCTTACAGAGATTGTTTATAATCTCACAACCTCTTTCTGCTATAACAAATTTATCCAGACTTCCTGCTAGTTAAGCTCCCCTCAGAGACAAAACCAACAGCCACATTAACTTTGTTTTCCTGCTTACTGTCAGCAGTGCCAAGGAATGTCACTTTTAAATTACTCGTGGCTATCAGATAAACAATGTATCTGTGTCCTCCAATTGAGATACATTCACCTCTTGAAAGGCTAGCCAGCCAACCTACATGCTTGCTTCCTGCAGTTCAGCCATCCAGCCAAAGAGAGGCAAGTATTAGAAAACAACTGTTAGCAAGATCTACAGACCAAAATGCTGCAGTATGTAAGTAATCAAAGAATTATGTAACAGTGACTCAAACTTTCATCAGGGCAAAGATAACGTGCGTGACATTGGTCAGAACTTTTGGCTGTCTGTAACATACAGAACTGGCACGAGAATCATCTCATTACTGTCCTCAAGGTTTATACAATATAGCTATATGAAAGTCAAGCACCAGCAGCCCAACAAGAAACTCTGTTATATCAAGCATCATATAGAGGAGCTTTTTATAACAGATGTTACTTTAAAGGAAAATCTACAAAACAGAAATAATACAAATTTATTTGGTAAGAGCTATGGTGACATCAATACATAAAAATTAGGATGATGCCTCGCTGATGTGTAAAAAAAAAAGAAAAAAGAAGCATGAAAAATTCTAAACAAACCTGCTGGAGCTACGAGATCTTCTTGAAGAGCTATAGCTTCTTGGGGGTGTTCTGGATCTCTTATCTTTCTTCTTTTTATCATCTCTCTCTTTTTCTCGCTCCTTCTCCTTATCCCCATCTTTTTCCTTTTCTTTGTCTCTGTCCTTTTCTTTGTCCCCTCCTTTATCCTTATCTCCCTCCTTGTCCTTAATCTTCTCTCTGTCCTTCTCTCCTTCTTTCTCAGTATCTTCTTTTTCTTTGTTATGATCTACCTCTTCCTTGTCTTTTTCCTTATCTTTATCTTTTTCCTTTTCCTTGTCCCTATCTTTATCCTTGTCCCTGTCTTTGTCTCGGGCTCTCTCTCTATCTTTGCTTCGCTCTTTATCTCTCTCCTTGTCCTTCTCTCTATTTCTCTCTTTATCTCGCTCTCTTTCCCTGTCTTTATCTCGATCCCTATCCTTCTCCTTGTCTCGGTCTCTGTCTTTCTCTTTTTCTTTGGCCTTTTCTTTTTCTTTGATCTTTTCTTTGTCTCTTTTCTTGTCCCTGTGAAAAGCCAAACACAAACCCATTAATTAATCTTTGAACTTTCCAATTAAAATTACAACTAACTTTTCAACATACATCAAGATAAAGTGAGCATCTCTGTTGAAAAACAGTACTGCTTCATATTTTAATTTTTCACCCCTGTTTACAATAAGGGAAAGCTTATATAGCTAGAAAATAAACAACTATATACAGCTAGGAAAAATTTGGAAACCAGCTGGAGGAGGGGAAGCCAAAACCAAATCAAAGCACTATCTTCCAAGTGATGCTACTATGTTTGGAGAGAATGTGTCTTTTCACCTCACAGTTATATAATTATACACACATAAATCTTCTATATTTTGTCAGGAGTGAGACAAACTCTACAAATCTGTAAATCCACTCTTTACTAAAACTGTATCCACATAAAATGGCCTTCAGATTAATCGCTGCCAAATGAATAATGACAGCTGACCGACAGAAGTCTTCGTATTCCAGTTTTTTCTCACACACATATATTTTAACTGCTTGGCAGTCCAACACCACTTAATACATAGAAATAAAAAGAAAACATGGACAAAATGTCACCGGATTTCTTTACAAAGCAAATATAAGATCAAAACTTAATGAAGACAATTCAGCCATCTGTAATGTCACTAGGAATTTGAGAATTACCGAAAAATGCTAAGACAGTAAAAAGAGAAGAAAGGAAAATAGCTCTTTGGGACAGGAAGTATGATACATGTTCACAAAGAGAACAGTGAGGAAAACTCCATCTGATGTTCAAGTTATCAAGTCAAACAAAAAGTAATTATCTAACAACTTTGGTTGGAAAATTACATTTTAGTATAAATGTAATTTATACTATAATTTTTGAAAATACAAGACTCCCTCTTTTCCCTCTAGTACAGAGACATATAATGAAAGAACAATTGTTCAGAGAGAGAAACAGGAGAAAGAGATAGAGAAAAAATTGTTTAGCAGTGTCTTATTGTGTCAAAAAGAACCAGACTGACACAAGCTACCTGGTATTGGTATCTATTCTAGATTTTTACAGATTCTAAAAGAGAGTCGTGCACACATCTGGTACTTAGCACTCAAACTTCCCTCAAACTGAGGAAGTGTTTGGCTGTATCTCCTTCTCAACTGCAAAAAAACAGCATGCATCTGTTGCATGCTTTACAGACTGACAACTGTGATTCCCATCAGGTTCTGTCAAGTACTTCATCAGGAGTCTCAGAGATGGAATGTAACATCACAAAGATTAAACAGTGCGCAGTCCCCACAATACCAGCCTTACAGCCTCCCAAGAAATGTCTTCTAGTTAATTTATCAGAGATTTCACTGGATTTCCCATTCCAGTGAGCAGATGCCTCAAGAAGCTCCAGAAAACAGAAACAGAGAATCAAAAGGATCCACCAATAAAACCCAGCCAGCTACACAGCCTAGTTTTGTTTCCACATAGGGCCACAGATCTGCAGCTCTCTTTCCCAGAAAACTTACCTCATAGAACAAGAGGCAGCTGCACAAACTAAGTACAAATCTCCCTTATAATAAATCACGGGAATTACAGAAAGTAAACCAAGAACATACCAAGACTTCTACTCCTGAAGCTATTTTCACAGGCACTTTTGGTTTGAGCTTATTCACTACTTAATCCCTAAAAAATTATGCTATGATCTTGTTAAAATGTCACAGTATAGTAATTAGATGATCAGACATAAAAACTAATAAACTAGATAAAATACACATGTACTACATCCTGAAACACATATATGCCGTACAACCGGCACATGCATTTCTTCCTGCTGTTTGACATGAGAAAAGTCAAAGCTGAAAACAAAAAGTTGATGCACAAGAACTCTATACACGTTCTTACAATACAGGATCAAGGTCAGTCTGAACTCAGATACGCATCAAACAAGCACTATCCATTTTTTAGTGTGTTCACAAGCTACACAGGATATTCCTTAACTATGGGTTGTAGTCTGACAAAATTACTCTTTTCAGTAGGCTTCAATGTTATTTCAAATGCAGATAAGACTATCCAAGTTCAGGTGCCTCAGCGTGATCATTTAATAACTGGAGGCATCCTACAAGCTACAAGAAAGATAGTTAACTATCCTAGCCAAGACCACTGTACTCAGTATTAAAATTTATTGTATTAAAATTTACTTTCTGTCCCACAGATAAGACTCCACCCTTTACGGTAACCTAAAAGGTTTGTTAATTTTTTTTTCAAAGACTGTATTCTGAGCTAACAGTACCATGTTGTGGAACAGAACTCACCGAGAACGAGAGCGACTTCTTGATTTCCGTCTTTCTGTAGATCTAGACCGTTTTTTCAGAGGACTTCGGGATCTGCGTCTGTCCTTGTGTCTTGAGAGAGATCTGTTGCCAGATCTACTTCTAATTGAAGAAGGCCAGAAGAAAAATATTTCAATATGGAAACTTCACACAAATGAAGTCAACCAACAAAAAAATGGTGATGTGTCACCACAAAGTATTATCTGACACCTTAATAACATACTGTCTGCAAATGTTTTCGCAAACATGGATACTTTATGCTTCACCATATGTAACATGCTTGACTTAGAAACCATTTAAGTTATACCAGTGTTTCATAATAATCTCCATGAATCTGAAAAACAGAAATTACCAAAATTTACAACAGTTGTCCTTACAAAATGACACTGCATAAAATCTGATTGGCAATTTCTAGCAGATTGTAAAAAGAGTAAGTTACATTTTATTTACTTTCCAGGCCCAGACACTTATTGAAGTTTTAGTCATCAAAGAAAGAGGACTTTGGCTCCAACAATCTCTTTTTGCTCTGTTCTCCATCCTCATAATTTAAATCCATAAAATCAAGTTACCTTTCCAGATAAAAGGATCTGTTAGAATGGATTTCAGTTGTAATTAAAGTCTAGATACTCTGATTTAAAAAAAAAAAAAAAAGTCTCATGCAGATTTGATGAACAGCACTTTATATTTTTTTTTTCCAAAATACTCCCTTATTTCTGGAAGACCCTTTTCCCTAGGAAAACAAAAATAAAAAGCTGAATTTGCATGTTAAGTTTCAAAAAACCACATCACTGGATACTTTGCTTCACAAGGCACCATGAAGTTTAACTTGCCATAGACAGAAAGATCACATACATTACTGAGTAAAACCTAAAGAACTGCGAGGTACAAAAAGTAACAACTGCACCTACCTTCCACAGCTCAAACCACACAGCTGAATGATGCCTCAGCATTTTAGTTGTTAAGTTTTTCATACATTTGTAATCCTACAATTCTTTAGTGTATAACTCCATACAGAGTGTTGGCTACCGTTCTCCCATTTTTATCAGACAAAACAATTCCTCTCCAGGCCTGGGAATCAAGGACACCTTCCTTTCTCAGGCCCCGAGAAATGTAAACAAAAGTGAGTTGGGGGAGAGCAAACTTGAGGTAAATGACTTCATTACTTGAAGCTGTAATTGAAAGATTAACCCCCAATATGCAAATAAACCAAACTTCTAAAAGTGTGAAAACCCATGACCTGCTGTCCACTTTGCGTTTAGCCCCTGGGCGGGGGGGGGTGTGGGCTCTGTCTGCCCTACATGTATGTGGAGGCCCTTCACTAAATATAACTGCTTTTTATTCCCTTAAGTTTGTCTGACCTCTGTTTTTAGGTAGCTCCAAATGGCATCCGTAAAATATACCAAGAAGAGGGGAAGCCATTTTTTAGCTACAGCTTTGTTCTCCTTATCAGCAGAGAAATACAAATCAACTGCAAGTGCAATTTACTGCAACTGAATCAAAGCATAACCTTCAATAAATTTTATGCCACAGAGATGAAAAAGATGTTATATAAAACAGTGAAAGGGAGAAGCAGTAAGCATAGATTATTTTTATGGATGAAGCTGCCTCAACAGGTCAGGCTGGCTTTTTTTCAGCATGTTCTCATAACTGGCAGTAGCAATATTAAACAATTTAACAAAACGTAGTAAAATATAATAATTTACATTTGTTTAAGGAACAGGTTTTCCAAATTTAAAGAAAGAAAAGCTTATCTTCTAAAATTCCACTTGGTTTGTGCCAATACAAGATAATACTGAAATTACTGGACTGTTGAACAAAAACTAGTGTTTTTCAGTTATGCCTTGAGTTAAGGACATAGCAGAGAAACAAGCAATAAGGAAGTGACCAAAGGGTCCTTCTTGCATTAAAAGGGTATCTAACATTTTGAAGTCACTAGAAAACACGTGCTGTGGTTCCCTGCTGTTGCAAAATTGAAGCCTGCATTTGTATCACATTTATTTGATAGTATAATTGATGTTAACTCCCCCTCACCAGATTTTCTGTATTTAAAAGTATCCTAGTAGCCTTGTTTGAAGACGTGAATGAAAGGATGCCTCAGAGCTGTTGCTGCAACAGGGGCAGCACCTACCTTTTAAAAGTGTAAGCAATCAAATAACATTACAAGTTTTGGGTTTTTTTTTTTTATCCCCGACATAGCCAAGTACCTTTAGATTGATTTACCTAGGTTCTCAGAATATACTCCTGAGACAGAAAGAATCTGGATCACTTTGGGAAGCATTTACAATTCTCACAGAAGAAGCCTGTTCCATTCACAGAAAAAAATCTTAATCTTCAAGAACGATCTAATAATTTTCTGTTTCAGAACTGAATAAATTTAGCAAAGCAAACAAAACCTGAAAAATGAGAAACTGCCCCTGAAGCCTTTTCTGTATGCATTTTAAAAACATTTACAGGACAAAAATAACTCAGTGCTTGGAAGTTGAGGAAAATAGCAAAAACCAGCCAAAAAAACAGCCAACCAAATAAATTATATGCTTCATCCACAAAATGCAGGTTTCTCTTTAAAATACAGGTCACAAAATGTTATTTGGTTACGTAGCCTAATGTACAAAAACATAAAATGTATGAAACCCCAAAGAACTTATTATTTTACGTGACACAGGAAGTGCCCTGTAGAATGCTTAAACTGAAAGTAATCCTATAAACATTCAGGGTTTAGAGGGAAAGAGTTCAAAGACAAAGTTTCTGGTTTGCTGATCTTCTGGGTGCAAGTTAGTAATCTCTACAGCAATACTTGTCTATTACTAAAAAATAACAGTAACCAGCACCTTGCAAAAAATCCCAATATGATCTTGAAACAAAAAGCATACCTACCTGTGTTTTGAGTGTGATCTTTTCCTTCTAGAGCGGGATTTTGAGCTAGACCTGGATTCTGAACGAGAATGGGAACGAGATCGACCGCCTTTTCTTTCACTGCTCTTTCCAGACTCTGAGAGGAAAAAACCACTTTGCAGTGTAAGCTCAGAACATTTAAAGATCCCAGTTAACAATCTGGCACAAGTGGAATGTACCACATATATTGCAAGGGGCCTACTCTCTGCACATCTTCCTTCTTTGCAAATATCCTTCAGAAACATCCAAGAAAGTCATTGCATATACTCGTTGAGTGCAGCCATCCTGCAGCAGTACACATAAACCAGATAATTATAAACAGCTAGCTCTACTATGAATGGGATTTATGTTGCTGCCACAATGCACAAGATCATAACACGTCCTTTTGCTCTATTTATTTAATATTATTTCCTTATTTTTTTAATAACTTGAGAAGAATAAATTTAGAGGGCATAATTCTGAAAACAAGCATAAAATATAAGTATTACTGTCTGTATTTTTAGATATTTCAAACACTGTACAAATACTGAAGTTTTATTCCTCGTTGTTTCATAGGAGGAAAGGAATGGATGAAAAGTCTGACCGAAGGCCAGAAAGGCAATAGAAACCTAAACAGTGAGCTCACCAGTTCAGAGTCTGTTATTTTGTTGCTTAACAGTGATAAAGCGCTAGAGTTATTTTACTTTCAAACAAAAAACACAACAGAAAATAATTGCCCCCAAAAAACCATTAAGACTCCACACCATCTAACCAACACAAGACAATATCTGGGTTTGTTAATAAGCAGAGTGGCAAAAAGTTGCTGACAAAAAAAGCAGGAAATTTACAAAGTTGAATTTTTTTTTATGCTGTTTTGCAATCAGTTTAAGCCAGCATAAATCACCACTGGAATGTCTGTCTAACCACTCAACACAACACCACCATCCTCCTTGAGTTGGCATCTCAGTGTTAACAGGGAACAGGGAAACAATCTGATGAAACAAACAGGGATGAAAAGAAGTCCTTTACAATATGTTAATACTTATCCCAGATTCATTTCCTGATCCCATTTGCTTTGAGGATGCATACAGCCTTTAGGCACCATGAAAAAGAACCAAATTAACTTGGTGCTTATAGATAAGGAAAGCATAATATTATTGCTTTTACAACCATGCTTTTAGAACTATGCTTGTCACAAAACTATGTCATTAATGGGTGCTAAAGGGCAACAAAAAATAGAAAGCATTTTCTTTTAAATGTCTTCAAGTGCTCTTAATGATGTCACTTTTTAAGTTAAGTATGGATTTAGTATTATATTTACATGTTTGAAAACATTCAGTGAACATATATCTGAAAACAAGAGATGATGAAATAATAAGCTTCATTCCACTGCTTAGATGCATGAACAGAATTTTGATTATTTTGGTTTTTTTTCCCCCAACATGCACTGAATATCTCTGGATACCCTTCTCTTGTGTCTGAAAATGTTCTTAGAAATGTGTACCAAGGTAAACACACAATGTGCCTGTTTGGTAATTATTAATTAACATAATACACCTACCTGGCTCAATAGCAGCAGATATAAAAGACTGGGCTTCCCTTACTCTCTTCATCACTTCTTCTAGCTCCTTGGCAGCAGCTTGTGGTGTCATTTCAGGAGGCTTCACTATTGCATTATTGGAGTGATTTATCCTAAATTAAAGAAAAATAAAAACCTTTCAATCTTAAATATTTGAACAGGGCAAATGGGAAACAAGTAAGGAAAACATCTCAACTTTGTATAAAATTAAAAACTTAAAAGTTTACCAAAACATCCACCTGTTCCAAGTATCCAAACTATCTTTTATTACTTTGAAGTCTTACCACTTTTAAAGAAAGGCAGCACAGTATTCTTATGTTACAATATTTTTAGAAGTCCAGGATGTTGCTTCTCTATTTCAGATCAAATCTTCACATTAACACCTACTAACTACATACACATCATACTGAAAACTTAATTGGTACTGTGGACTTCAAAGATTTTTTTCACTGTTATATCTTACACTACCTCAAGATTAATATAATTGTATTTTACTCAATGCCATACATATTCTACTGAGAGAAATTTATGCCAAACTGTGAAACTGGAGTTGATAAAAATGTTTTAATTTGTTAACAACAGGTCCACATACTGAAAAAAATATTAGTCGCAGCATTTTGCTACACATAAGTCATAAATGTGCGTATAATAATACAAAGAAATCTCTCATTCAACAGTAATATAGATAATTAATTTCTTACTTCAGTGGCCGGTCTCCAAACATAACTCCATTAAAGGCAAGAGCTCGAGGTACAGAATTTTGGTCTGCAAATTCCACAAAAGCAAATCGTGTTGGTTGTGTCTCATCACCTGCCATTCGCACAAATTTGACTTCTCCAACTTGCTTAAAGAATTCAAGCAGCTGATCTGCTGTTGTAGTCTAGAAAGAGTTGAAGAGCTCAGCTGAAGTAAACCACACAGTGAAAACCACTATCTAATATATTGGGTAGTCTAAGAGCCACACATTCTTGGAATGGTATCTCAGCATTATTACAAAGGTGACATGAATTTGGGAATGTTACATTTTAAGACTTAAAGATGTGTATATTTTCTTCCATTAACCTAAAGAATATTCTACAATTTTAAGTAGTAGAGCCACAAGCCCTTAGTCCTTCACCTAGGTAAAAAAAAAAAGAAAATAAATTTACATGGGATTTTGCACTTTTTAGGCAACTAATCTGAAGTAATTGGTAAGAAATTTCCTTATACCTGTTTCCAAGCTACTAATTGTGACTTTTGATCAACTAAAGCAAAAAAATCCAAACAATATTAAAGGACTTAAGATTTAGATAGCTTTCTTCTAGCTTCCAGTTTGTTTTATTTTATCACAACCAATAGTACTTTTTCACTCAGTAGCTGTTCCAGAAGTCAAAAACCCCAAGATGTAATACTTACATTGCTATCAGTCAAAAGCAAATGTTTTTCAATTAATCTGATCATCTCTCAAAAAACCAAGCTGCTGATTTAAAAATATTTATGCTAATTTTGCAACTTCCAGTAGGACACATGATTCCATCTTACTGCACCTAAGCAACTACACTGTGCTGTGGGGGACAGCTACCACGATCTCATGACTTCTGCGGACTGCACAACTAACACAAGCAAACTGTACATTTAATCAACAGACAAAATTAGAAGTAGGTTTCTTTAATTGATCTCTGGAGAATACCAGTGGATTCTCTGGTATTCTGACAAAACCTGGTCTAATCTGACTGGCATGCAAACGTTCAAAATTTGAAACATCATGAATAAAAAAATTTAGGGGGTTTTGTTTAAATTCATATTGTAATTAACTAATGGAAACTCTCATAACATGTAAGATTAGAATTCATAGATAACATTTTCACACCTTCTGTTAGTATTTACACAACACAGAAACAAAAAAAAAAACTACCTGGGAATTCAAGTTTCCAACATAGACTGTTCTCCTGATTTCATCAATTTTGGATGGATCCACATTTCCCATAATTGGTGGTTGTGGTATTTCTCCCAGTGCTGTAATGTTAGGATCCAATGCTGCTGCTGGTATTGCCCCTAAAGTACCAAGTGAAACACCAAGCTGGAAAATACAAGAACAGAATACACTTTGCAGCCAAGCACTGGTGAATGATATTTCACTTCTTAATACTTGTTTGCCTGGATGCATTTCTGCAAAAACAGATCTAATGAATACAAGCAATACTTTAAAGGTCACAGCGCAGCAGGCTTTTTTAAAGAAGAAAAATCTACCCGGAAATAAGCTTCCATAGTTAAGATATTCTGTCAATTATCAGTTAACATCTTATGAAAGAGATCTGGACAGGGATATATATTAATCACAAAACATACAGGCTCTAATGCTTAGAGCCAAATAAACTGAGTAAGACTCTTTCAGACACTGCTGGTATTCTTATTTTTTTGAAACAAGTATTTGGACAAGAGGAGGAATAGCTGAGATCTTGCTCAGCAAGGAAAGAAAGGAACTTCCAGTGCTCAGGATCAAAGGGACACGTAAGTGTCTTCTGGACAAATTAATTACCCCAGACAAAATTAATTACAGTTGAAATGCAAACAATGTTTTAAGTTCTTCCATTCATATGTAGAGACTGAGAAAAGTATACAGCTCTCATGCTTGGAACTGGAAACAGAAAACTCTGTTATAAAAAGTCACTTTAAAAATCACTATAAAATTGGTCCATTGAGTACCTGGCTTGAATTTTCTCTACCCAAAAAGCAACTGCCTTTTCAAGAAATGAATTTTCTAAGAAGTGTGGGGAATTCTTAACAAGTCATAAGTACCTTTTTTATGTAACAAAGGAAAATACTACTGTATTTTAACCTTAAGTTTTCCTTCAATAAACCAGAGCAACTCACTGATGTAAAGAAAAGCTTACAGAGGTAAAAGGGAATGGAGGAAAAATAGCACAACCAAGCTCCAACCTACTTTTCCTAGTGAAAACATTGTTAGACAGTCTAACAGTCAAAAATCTTGCAATAGAGATATCAAGGAAAAGTCTCTACTGCAACTTTTAATATTCTGAAGAACTGGTGTCAATGTAACTTAGGTTTTAATACATTCTTTGTCAATGGTAACTATCACTGGACCAAATTAATGACCCTCCCAGGTACGATCGAATTAAAAAAGAATTAAAACCAAAACCAGTATTTACCCACTATTTTGGAAATTAGTAATCTGAAAGAAAAACCCTGGGAAGGTAGCACATTAACATCTTCTGATCAGTCCTCAGGAGAGTCACCACAGCTAAATCCTTGTGGATATTCTCAGTTCAGTTGAAGAAAGAACAGAGACAATTTCTCCCAGGCTGAACCTGGGAATCCTAGACGAAAGAATCCCAACAATTATTATCTCTCTTTCTGTAACCATTGTTTATAGTTATGGTTCTTTACAGCGTGCTATTCATAGCCACCAAAAATGTAAGATGTTTTCTACTTTGAGACCAATCCAGTCCCACTTAGGGAGTGAGACTATAAAACTCACTGCTTCTCACTAATAAAGATTCTTCTTGAGCCTTCTGATCCACCTGAAGACTGGAGTCTTTCTTTCTGTCCCTGACTCAACAGCATTTAAACCCTCACTGCAATGTCCGTTGACCAGATACTCCTCATTCCCTGTCCACAGAAAAGGCTACAGAGAACAGAGGAAACTGGAAATTACATAGACACTGAACTTCACTTACTGTAGTCAAGGGAGTTGGTGTAGGTATAGGAAGCAACCCTGCACCAGGCATCAGACTTGTCATAGTAGGAGCAGGCGCCAATAGAGACAGGGCTTTGGCTTCATCTGGGATTTTACCTGAAGAAGCAAATAACAGCATTACACAGAGCTGGAACACTAGCCAGATGTTACTCTATGATTTTACAATTACCCTTGCATTTAAAAATGTAATAAGTAACAATGAAACTATCTACCAGATCCTTACAAAGAAACAAAGAACTTAAGTTTTTCCTTTTACCCTGCTCTATTAGGAAAAACAAAAGTGAGCAAAACTTCAAAGACTAGCAATCTCATTAATGGATTATTACTTTAAAAACTGAATAATGTATATAATTATTTAACACTTTGAGCTATGGGTCACCTGTACTGGAAACTTAACGTTCATGAACCAAACGATATCAAGCATGGACGCTTTCCCAGGGCGGTGTTTTCGCGGTGATCGAAAGTTGTTTTACACATGACAACCGTTCGTGTTGGCTGCATCACTAATAGCACACAGAACATCAGATACAGAAAAGAAGAACATTTTTTAAAGTTTAATCCCCAGAAATGGCAAATAACCAAATCAGTAAAAGAAAGAAAAAAAAAAAAGAAAAAAAAAAGAAAAAGAAAAAGAAAAAAGAAAAACCAAAGTATGTGCTGACTGAAATTTGTGCTTTTCTTTATTCCTCTGGTGCTACCTATTTAGAATGTAAAAAATAAACAAAACATAAAATAATAAACTACTGAACTACTGTGACTGCACACAATACATACTACAAGTGAAGTTGAAGGTGGAGGAAGGAAGAGCAGAAAAAACTTAGATTTGTACTCATATTATAGTCACCTCAGTTTATCTGAAATTGGTAAATTAAGTCTAAATTTACTGAGATTGAAGAAAATTATAACTGATCAGGCTAAGCTAGCTCTATTTTCCCAACAGAAGTACTTCCTGCTATTTTATCGTGATTATAGTCCTCCTGTAATGCCAAAAGTAATAACTAATCTGAATTAAAAGTTGGTTTCATTGAATATTAGCCATGATTAGACTACTAAATTAACCCCCAAAGTATCTCCAAAACCAAAAAGATTAAATGTTAAACAATTATGATTACCATTAAATGTACATTTTAAATTTGAAACGCAAAGAGATTAAAACTGGCACAAACATTAAACACCAAACTAAAAAACTTGTGAAGGAAGTTCTAACTACACTAGGTATCTATGATCTGTTCAAAATTACTGGCACAACTATATATATGCTAACCAACTGAGTCCTTTGGTATTACCCATGGATCTTAATAAAGTAAATGCTCTTATTTCAACATAGTTTTAATAGTCAAGTAACATATAAAAAGTGTGCCAGTGGTTTCCTGCCTTGATTAAAACTGCAGGTTTTAACTACAAAACATCTAAATCCAAAATCTGATTAATATTCTTACTGAAAATGAAAATTTGAGGTAGGTTTCAAAACACCATGCAGGTTTAGCAATGAGTTCCAACTGACACCATAGAAAACATACTAATTAAAAAAACAAAAATAAACAAGTGCTGCAAACCTGCTCTACAGATCTGCGGGAAAGTCAGCTTGAGTCAGCTCAATATGACTGAATGACAAAACAAATCTAAAGGAAACTTAATTTATATGTAGAATGGGTGGAGCAGAACAGATAAAATAACAGTACCCATTTTTTTCCATGCTTCCTATTTACATTTATTTTATTTATGTTAAATTTTGAGACACCTTGCAACTTAACATATAAGAAACCACTCGAACTTGCTAACTAAGAGAGAAAAATAGGAAAAATTTAGCGCTTAGGAGTTAACTGAGCAATAATGACTTCCAAAACTTTTTTAAAAACATGCACAAATCTAAGCCACTATCACAATGTTCGGCACTCTTTAATAGATCTCATTTTGAAGTCGGGCATGCAATAAGAAGTGTACCTGATTTGCCTGACTGCTCAAAAGTATCAGGTACATTGTGTACCCTGCCTAATATGTAGGCCTACTAACAGGCCTTTAAATACACAGTTCCAGCAGATGTGCATGCAAATTAGGCACAGAATTATGCACCAGTGCTTCTGAAAATCAAAGTATTAAGTTTTTTCAAATGAGTAATGAACCAAAACTTATCCTGAACAGTAGGCATCTTGCAATTAAACAGCTACTCATGCAGGTTTTGATGGATCAAGAGACATGGCACAATTAAATCCAATGGTAGAAATAGCTCTGACAGTGGTGTGCCTGCATGCTAACTGAGATCCTTGGTCAGTACTGTACATAAGTATATGCCTAATTTAAGTATGCACTTACATACAGCCAATTCAATACACACGTAAACAGGTAAACTTATAAAATGCTTAGGCATTTAGCCCTTTTAAATGGGAGCTCAGTTAGGCACATATAACTAAGACAGACAATGACTCAAGTTCACAAAGTGACTTCATTAGAAGCCTAAACTTTAAGTATATGGCTCATGGCACTGAAATAACTGAAATAATTAACTTGCTGAAACATTGTTTCATTATTCAAGAAATCCACTGAACATTTCATGTAAGTTCACCACTATAGCAGCTCACAGAATGAACAGCATGCATATGCAAATTGTAAAGTTTGCAGCATTATTTCCAGAATATGTTGGTCTTTCAACAATGTAAAGTTCTATTTTAAATACAAAAATCAAGTTGGTCAGTCCCACACCACAAAGAAAGATTCATTTATTTTGTTTTCAAGAATGAGAAAGGGTCTATTTCTACAGACAGAACCCTGAAAATTTGCCTGTATATTCAATGACACTGTCTCTTCAGAGTAACTTTTCCAGTTTTTAAGTCCAAGTCAAGTTTTAAAATAATTCTACAGATCACTGTTGTGGAAAAACAAAAATAAATCTGCAGTATATTGAGTATCTACCTTCATATTCTTTAAATAGTTTTGAAAAACAAATTAACATGTGAGTCCAAATAACTTCATGAGTTAAAAGCTTTAAATTTTGCAGCTTTACTTCTGTGATTGTATATGTAAAGGAAATAAAAGCCCACTGAATACATCAAAATATGCAGGTTATGACACAACAGTTTAGGATAATTTAGTTCAAAAAGAATACTTTCATTTTTAGAACACAGTATTTAAAATCTGAATAAGAATGAGGTAATGATATTTATTTTCTAATGCGGGAGCAGTCAAAATAATTATGCCATATCTATATCACATCCTTAGACAGATTTCTTAGAAGCTCTTCTGCTTAGTAAACTAAGGTTCTATGATCATTTATTGATTGTCCCCTTTGCAAAAGAAGATGGAAGCAAATGTACATTGTCACACCACTACTTAAAGGCACGGTTGTGACTGCTACATTTTTGTACCATTAGTCTAAAGAGCCCTAGACAACCTAACCCACACTAGAACCCTTTGCTGAAGACTAAACAGAATCATGTGCATCAAACAAGTACTAATGACAGTATTTTTATTCCTCAAGTGCTCAAAAGAATTTCCAACTCTTCATAGTGAACCTACAGAGTTAACACTCACATCCAAAAGTGCTCCTGGCAACAAGTTTGCTTGTTTTAAAAACAGTGAAGAGTTCACAGTCTACTTGAAACATTGAAAAAAGTAATAATTTTCCTGCAATTTTACATCAGTGGAACATGTATGATTAGAAATAAAATAATTTCTATTAGACCAACTCATGAATCTTAGTGGATTTAGCAATAAAGAGATTGCATCTACTGGCAATTAAAACTGTAACAGCCAAATCCAACAAAGATCACAAATCACAGCTCTTCCCAGCTGCAGTGCAGAGTCTGGTGAAAGGAGTGAAACCAAGAGATCCCAGTGCAGCTAGCTGGGAAGAGCAGCCAGTGCTTGAGGACTAGACACACCACTTTGTCCACCACTTCTCTTTCAAGGCTTCTGTTTCACAAGAATATCTTTTAGGGATCAATCACTCCAGCATGAACTGCCAGGGCTTCTGAAACTCTGGGATGACTGGAAAACCCCTTTTTTTTCTGACTTTAGCATTTTTTTTATAAAACATCTTCCTGAAATAATCACCACTAGAGCATGTCAAAGTGCAATACACACACGCACACACACACAGAAAGAGAACTGATTCAATCTTCCCACAAGTAACAGTGTTAAAAGACAAGGTGTCTCACATAACACACTCCAACCGAAACTTCAGGCTGCATTTGTACTTATGAGTGGTAAATAGTTTTTTTCTGAAAGTTCATTTTAAAAAAAAAGATGAAATCTTACTACCACTGGCCTCACTGGAGCAAGGTTTCATCAGAAGTAAGAGAGTATTTTATGACACTCAATATTCATAAAAGTTAAATTTCAGAAATAATTCTTTTAAACTCATCATGTTAGACATAAATAGTAAGCCTTCTTTTAAATAGCTGGTGCAACATAAAATAGAACACTCTGCTGATGGAAAGTAGCAGAGAAATATTATGACTTTAAAGTAAAGTTGCTTTCTCCAAAAGTAAGAGTTTTAACTGTCCTTTTCCAAGATAAACTCATAAAGCACAACATATGGAAAAATGTATCTTGAAATACTATTCCTGTCTTCTGATACAATGTACTCATCTGCTGAATTTAGATACTTAAAAAATTTCAAATCAAATTTATCCTTAATTCAAAGCACTAAAAACAAATCACATTCTAAATTCTCCATATACCATCCACCATTCATAAGCAGCTTCAGGTCAACTTCAAAATCAAACACTGTGAACCCTTTACAAACATCATTTTACAGAACTGAAGTACCAGTTCACAAGTACAAGGGAAAGAGATTTAACAGAACAAAACAAAAAAGGGACAAAATAAAAATAAAAATAAAAGAAACAAAGGAAAGAAAGCAAAATAAAATAAAAACAGAGACAGGGCGTCCATCTTCAGCAGGTCAGACTTCGATCTCATTTCCCCCATGAAGGTTTCACTTGGCGGCAGGTTTAGTGGCATGGCAAACAATGCCTAACTCAGGCAAGTGTAACAGGTCTGCCTTGGCCAGTCTAGTCATCTAATAATGCACAAATATCACACAGAGAAAACATACAAAACCAAATTAATAGTCAAAATCCATCTACCAGATAATGTGGACATAAAATTTAGAAAGATTAGGGTGGTATCTTTGTTTAGCTTTCAACCTTTGCATTTTCAAAGCATATTTAAGGAAAAACCTACCAATACACACACACAAAAAGTCCTATTTTCACAGCTTAATAGTCTTACTTCATTTACAGTAACATTTTTGTTAAATTGTTCATCAATTGTCACATACTTTACACTGATTTCATTCTGTAGTGATTTCTTCCTTGATTTACCACTCTTTAAATACACTTCAAATTTCAGATTTTTGTATATTTTTTTGAACCAGGTTTTTAGATTTCCATTTTAACTCCCCTCAATGTTTAACTTCACACATTAAATGTTTTATTACTGCCAATGCTGGTCAATGGTATAATTTCACCTCCTGGTAGGATAAAAAGCCATCACTATATTTTTAAAACCCATTATCCAGTTCACTGACTCCATTAACAGTGCACCATATGATACATAGTGAAAAAAACGCTTATGCCATGGTCTCCAAAGCCATACTTATTCCACACAATAAATTCTTCAGAAAGTTAAATTTGTATAAATTCACATCTTTTTATAAATGAGTGACTCTGATACAAAGTTACAGAGAACAGCATTCTGACATCAAAAAAGCAACCTCAAAACCCAATCACTTGTTCACCTAATTATGCATACATTTTTGTGGAGTCCAGAATGATTCTGAACAGTGATCATGTTTTCTCAGAAATGCCTGATCAGCCAGTTATGAATAGAGAGGGAACAAGATTTGTCAGAATTTTGACTTATTCTCCTTTCATTCACTGTCTACCACAAAAGACACAGGAAAATGTAGCTTTACCCGCCTGTTGCCATATCATGTCAGACAGTGATCTCTCATCACAAGAAAAACACCAGGAAGTGTTGTTCCCTCATTAAGCAGCCATGTTCCCTCTCTGGCAATACTGAACCTGTGTTAAGATCTTACTGATGAAATATTAAACTAAGATTCTGAATAATCTTTAGTCTATTTATTTAGGGGCAATTCTTCAACTGGAGACTCTGGTGCCCTTAGCCTCTACATAGTTTCCAGTGCACACATCAATATTCTCTTTGTGCTTTAAGAACAAGTTAAAAATATGAAAACAGAGAGTCCTCAAAACAAGACACAAAAGGAACTGAAAACCTAGGCTTCACAAAGATGAAGGCATATCCTGTATGACCTGCCTAAGAAAACTATAAGAACAGGCAGTACACTGTAGGTCAATATGGCCTTTAGTAAAAATACTTTTATAGTTTGTGAAATTTTTGAGACTTGTCAGTTTGTTAAGAATGTCCCAGACGAGTATTATAGCAGCACTCATCTCACACTATCTAGATCATGATGCAGCAAATATGCCAGAACATGTTACTCTGGGACCATTGTTAACAAACTGCAAGAAGTCAATTGTATTTTTTTGAAACAAAACCCGACTCTTGCACTTAGAGATGTTAATAAGAGGTATTACTTGATCTGTTGCAGTTTACAGTTCAATCACTCTACATATTGTTGTTCATGGCAAAACAGCAACCAAGTTGAAAGTTAAGTCAGGTTCACTCCATCAGGTGGAACGATTCCATTCCAAAGTGGCAAAAAGGTCCAGCACCAGTCAGAGGCTAAATTCCACAGTGATCCCAATGAAGTCAATGGGGCTCTGCCTACATCCATTGATATGACTGCCACAGGACTCTGCTTCATGTAATTGTATTCAAATCTAAGGTGCTTCTACTAACAACACAAATTGTCTTATACTCAACACATCTGTAAAAGCATGGCCTCAGAGCTAGGGGAAGGAACATCTGTCAGTGTAGTGTTCATCAAGTATTTTATCTCATGAAGACTTTTAATGCAATGTAATTACATTAGTTATATTTTTAAGAACATTTAATGTAATTACATTACATTAGTAATGTTTTTAAGAACATTTTATTATGGGAGCATTCTGGACAGATCACTGCATATTTAAACAGATACCCAAAACGAAAATGGAGTACCAGTATAAATAAGGATTTTTTTTTATGGCACATGAAGTAACATTTTCAACAGTAACAAGAAGGAAAAATGTTTGTTCAAAAATTAAACTAGCAGATAAATATTTATATTCAGTAAGTATTTTGAATGCTAAGTATCTTGGATTAGATGACTCTAAAATGGCCAAATGAGTATATGACATCTGTAAGACAAAACTGGGATTCTCTCTAAAATTGCAGAAACAATCAGTGTCTTTAAAAAAGTGCAAATCAGCAAAAATATCTCTACAGCAAAGGTGATACATTAAGATTCAAACTGCAATGTTAAGTGTCAGGAAACTGCCTCATCTTTTCAGAGCTCCATTGACTTCAGTGAGAACTCTGTATGCGGATACACCTGCCTACACAAACCAAAGTGAAAGGAACTATTTTCCTCTCTTTTCCTTCAGAATACATAATAACTAGGGAAACCTGAGTTATCATAACTTAAGCCAACAATCTTTTTGCTAATGCTGAATTTCAATTAAACATGTATAACTGGGGTTATTTTCAATCAATTTTCAATTTTGTTTCAAGGCCTTTTTTTTCCAAAAAGCAATAAAATAAAATAAAACAACAACAGAGCATCACCTTACATAGAAAGCTTAAAACAATTAACAAACACAACAAAGACCAACATTACACAAGAATGTCTAAAATACCAACCTTCTGCACAGGGCACAACTATCAAAGCTCTGTCAATAAAAACCGTGTTAGTTAGATGCTGGGCCACACCAACACTCGATGCTTCACGAAACTTAATATAACATACTTTGGAGGAAAAAGCAAGTGGTGCATTGCTGCAAGATAAAAGGAAAAAGTAACAATTAGTCATAATTGCATGCATGTATTTTTAACTATTACTTCTTAGGGAAAAAGAAGAGGATTTTTTCCTAGAAAAGGCAGCCTAAAGTATAGAAATCTACTAACTTGCCACTTGCTGTATCAGCGAAAAAAGATGGAGCACCTTTTAAATGAAAACTGACATAAGCCAAAATCACTAATTAACAAGACTAATTTTCTTCTATTATCTGGCTACATAATGCTGAATAGCACATTTTCAAATTACTATTTTAAGGAGCATATTTACTTGAAAACTACAATTGCCAAGTAAATATTTTATAGTTTATCTTTTTTTTTTTTTTTTTTTTTTCTGAAAATAATCTTTTTATAGGAAAGACAAACAACAAACCCTGCCATTTTTTGGTGGGTCCTTCAGATATTAGCCTGTAATAATCAATATTCTCTCTGGCTTTCACAAAAGTAGTTTTACTAATTCTTACAAGATAAAATCAGTTCTAGAGATGGATTTCAAATACTGGGTCTTAGCTGACTAAAGTAACAAAAACCATTGCCTAAGTTTGGCACAAGATGGAGTAACATCGGAGGAATAGGAGCAACTCACCATTTGGCTACAAAAGGGAAGAAAATTTGTAATTCACTTTTCCATTACACTGTACACCAAGAGAGAACATGTAAACATTGCAATCTTGATCAAAACTACTCAAGTTTGCAGCAAAAATGGATTCCCTAATCAAGGTTTGTAACCTTCATATTAGCAGCTTACTTCTTCACATGAAGGAAGTACAGGTAAATATTCAAAGAGAGAATACAGTATTGCTGGAATATCAGCAATTTTCATTTGAAATAATGGAAAAAATGTTGCACAGACTGTTTTACTCTGGTCCTGTCTCAACCAAAATGGAAACACTTGTCAAATTTCTGGAAGCACAAGCAGCAGTTCAAGTTTAACACAACCCATCTTGGAGTCCCCTCGAATTCCAAGGATGTGTTTCCCTAGTTATTCTATTAGATTTCAAGATTTAAATATAAATTAAAAGTTTTAGACACATGATCTCATCATATTAATATAAAAATAAACCAAAAACGTATGCCTGAGGCAGGCAGACTAGTATGTTTCTGGCTACCAGGACAGTAGCACAAATGTGTATCTAGAGATGGCCAAATCCAGAATGGTATTTAAAAACATCTATGATGGAAAATTCTGTAAGAACAGACAACACTGGGGAGGAAAAACTAAACAGGTAGTGGGAGACACATAAACATGAAAGTCAATCTCAAACAATTTAGAGAAACATTACAAGACGACTACATTTCTTCTGCCCACTTTTATTTATTTGTGGTGGGAAATGCTTTTACATTTCAAGTTTCCACATTCAGGAAGGAAATAACTGTACAGAACAGCTTCTGAGCGAGCTGTAAGACACCTGTCTGCCTGGGCTGGTTGATGGTGTCAGGGAGCAGAATGGTATGGGCAGAATCTAATGGGATGAAGTTCAATAAGTCCAAGTGCCGAGTCCTGCACTTCGGCCACAATAAGACCCTGCAACCTTACAGGCTGGGGATGGTGTGGCAGGACAGTGCTCAGGTGGAAAGGGACCTGGGGGTGCTGGTTGACAGCAGCTGAACATGAGCCAACAGTGTGCCCAGGTGGCCAAGAAGGGCAATGGCATCCTGGCCAGTATCAGGAATAGTGTGGCCAGCAGGAGCAGGGAGGTCATTCTTCCCCTGTACTCGGCACTGGTGAGGCCACCCCTTGAGTGCTGTGTCCAGTTCTGGGCCCCTCAGTTCAGGAGGGATGTTGAGATGTTTGAGCATGTCCAAAGGAGAGCAACAAGGCTGGTGAGGGGCTTGGAGCACAAGCCATATGAGGAGCGACTGAGAGAGCGGGGTTGTTTAGCCTGGAGAAAAGGAGACTGAGAGGTGACCTTATCACTCTCTTTAACTTCCTGAAGGGTGGCTGTGGTGAGCTGGGGGTCAGTCTCTTTCTCTGGACAACAACAAATAGAACAAGAGGACACAGTCTCAAGCTGCGCCAAGGGAGATACAGGCTAGATTTAAGGAGGAAGTTTTTACAGAAAGAGTGGTCAAATACTGGAATCATCTGCCCAGGGAAGTGGTGGAGTCACCATCCCTGGATGTGTTTAAAAAAAGACTGGATGTGGCACTTAGTGCCATGACCTAGTTGAGGTGTTAGAACATGGGTTGGACTGGATGATCTTAAAGGTCCCTTCCAACCTAGAAATTCTGTGATTCTGTGAAGATCTCAGCTGAGACCAGTTTCCAGCATCAGAGGTGATAGCCAGCTGTAACTTTTTTAGTACTCTAGAGATACTTCATTCACCACAAAGACTTCTATGGCCATGAGCAGTTTATTTGCTTTGATTTGGTGGGGGAGAGGATGCCAAGGGGAGGGAGAAGCTCGGGTCTTGGAATTTCTTGTCACCACTGTATGGTGTTTGCTTGTTTCTTTTCAAATACATCCCTCACTGTTTATAACCCAAATGGCTGAAGTCACCACTGAAGGTTCTATGGTCCACTGCTATGGCCCACTGCTGAAGACTTCTAAATCTCCCGATTTTTTTTTTTTTTTTTTTTTTTTTTGCCTCTTTTGTTCATTGCCAACTCAAAAATATAATTCTGCTCTACATAGTTTCAGGGCCCCCCAATAATCCCTATAAACTTTAACATCTGTAGAGCCTGTACTATCAAGTGTGTTTTTGTAAGATTTACTCTTCCTTATTCCCTGATTTAGAACACAAAAGTTATATGGACAGCATGTTGAAAAATATCAGATGTCTGAACACTGGTGCAAATGAGGCCCTACAAGGACATCTTGATACCAAGTGCCTTCCAGAGGTTAGAAAGGAGAAATTCTCTACAAGATGACGCTCACTACTAAAAACACATCAAAATTGCCTCAAGATCTAAGAGATCTAAAACTTCAGAAGGTTTAACAGTGATCCAGTCCTCTCCTTTTCTGAAGGGGGTCTCCAAAGTCTTCCCATCAGCCTTTTTAAGAAGACTTTTTTCTAAAACAGTTAAGTCCTATTATAATTCCTTTTGTTGCTTTTTTTTGCTAGCCTTTACTGAGGCTGAATTGACTCATGATCTTTCTTCTAGGTTACACAGCCTTGATATCAAAAAACAACACATATATCTGATTCAAAGTTACTACAATTCAGTTAGTCTCTTTAGAAAAAAAATTAAGAGGAAATAAATATCTAAATAGTATTTGGACATTTCTAACATTTCTCTTTCACTTGGTAGGAAGACAGCAACATTCATCTCCTAACAGAATAAAAATCAACCAAAGTATTTCCTAAGAAGGAATTCAGAAATCTATGATAATAAAAAAAAAAGAAAAGGCTATGAAACATTTCTCAAGTGGGGCAGGGAGGTGGGGTGTGTGAGGTGTGGAGGACATGACAGAAATTAATAACTTACTGAAATAGAATATTATGGAATAATTGTGCAGATCAGTTTAAATAAGGCTCTGTGTGTTCTGAAGCCTCACCTACATTGCTGTCACTGCAGGATATAACAATTCTATTTATTATTATTATACAGATGACAATCCCTTTTCTCAGACGAAATGTCCCTTAAGGGAAGGTGGCCCATCTGCCTGTGTCAGAATGGATAAGGTATACAAGTGAGAGTGACTTGGGTGGCACCCCTCAGTGTTAAACTAGGCTTTGCCCAAATACTCTGGTTCATGAGCAGAACACTTTTAGGCTCCAAACTGGACAAGGCCCCAGACCCCATTGCCAAGCTTTGGTATGAAGGTGTCTCCACCTCTCAACACCTGCTGGCTGTAACCAGAGCAGGACTTCCTGGTGGCAGAACAGAGGCCAATCCAGTCTTGCCCTTGACTACGGAAGGGTTATCACAAACCCATCATCGAACTTTTTGTTAAACCAGAAATTTATTCTCCAACAGAGTTCTCACTTAAAAGACCACCCCAGACTATTCAGTAGCAAGCAGTATTACACAGTAGGTCTTTCCACACCTAATAGAGACAGCTTGCAACTCCCTGCTTTCAAACAACTCATTTTGCCAAAACCCAATTGTTGCTCAGGAAGTTTTTCAACATTTAACTGTTCAAAAATCCTCTTAAGGCCACATTTGAAGGCTCATTGCTACACATGTAATTTTGAAGCCTACTCTGAAAAGCAGACTTCAACTGGGTTACAAGTGTATGGGACTGTCTGTGCATGTCTGGGACTAAGAATCCAATTACAGGAGTCACTGATCTCCTGCTAACATGAAAACACCACTAGGCTGTGGCAGTGGCTAGCATTCTGAAGTACACACCCAAGGCAAAAGACCAGTCACATCCTGCAAACCAGCTTCAGTTCTTACCTGTTCTGCAAACTGAGAGAGACCTATGTTTTGTTTGGGACACCTTTGCTTCCCATCCACTTGTCAGTGAAATACCATTTTACAAATTTACCATACATTTTCAGAAAGCCAACAGGAGGCAATTTTTTTTTTCCTCCTAAGGAAAGACATTAGAGCTTCTTAGGCATACCTAGTTTTCTCCCAAGGTAGCAATTTGGAAGTCAGTTCAAATGTCCAAAAGTATGAGGCAAGGAAAACCATACTTCTAACACATATGCATAAATAACAGTAAATAAAACCAAAAGTAAAGCACGTAAACAGAATCCTGCATCCTATCTCTGAAAACTTAATTAACCAGCATTACAAGTTATTCCCTACTCTGGTACTGGATTTTAATATTTTTTGTGCATATACACCCTGACAAAACTGTACACATTGGCACAGACATTATTTATGTATGAATGTCAAGAAAGTCCCCATTTCCCTCAAAACCTGTTATATAACCTAGTGAAAGACAAGAACAACAGCTGTAACAAAAAAAAAAAACAGATTCAGTCACGAGAAAACCCAAAATATAAAGAAGCAACTATGGAATAAGTCCAGGACAAAGCCCTAGAAAACTGTATAAAAATCCACCATATAGCTGTCAGTAAGGCAT